AACAAATCACCTTTTAACAAATCCTTCGTGGACCATCTATTTATATAATGGGTTATTTGTTAATTATTTAGCCCGTGAGGAATAGATTTAGCCTGAAAATTGACCGGGCAATCATGGTTGTGTAGATGGATTCGTTGGCGACATATAGAAAGAAGCAAAAATCAATTTCGAGTTTGGACGAGTCCGAACGGGCCCAAAAAGCAAAGTCGTGAGAAACACGTTTAATGTGTAGGTCAAGAGCTTTGGGAGAATATGATTTCAAGAATAATTTATTCATGCAGGCATCATTGAATAGAGGGCTTCGTTAGCTACGTATAAGAAAAAACGAAACTCAATTCCGAGTTCAGACGAGCCCAAAACACAAAACACATACTATATATTAATTTTCTTATTCATTAATTTTAAAATTTAAAACGTATTATCGAAATAAGTGTTGCTATTTACCGCACCCAATTTTACTATTCACCGCATCCAAAAAATACTCTTTTGCCCTTATTAAAAAATAATAATAAAAAATTCAATTTTTAAATTTTTTTAACATTAAAAAAAATTATAATTCTTAAAAAATGATAAATGTGGCCAATCAAAAAAATCATTCTAACACAAAAACCGAAAAAAAAATTCATAAAAAAAAAACACAATAAATTCGAACAAAATTCAAAAAAAAATCCGAAAAAATGGCGGGACAATCATTTTAATCATTGTCATTCTTATGCATTTCCACTCTATCCTATCAAAGGCCTTCATCATGTCAAGTTTGATAACTGGATCATGGAGTGTGTGTCTACTGTCTCCTTCTCCTTTATCCTCAATGGCAGCACAAAGGGCTACATCAATGCACAAAGAGGAATAAGGCAGGGGGACCCTCTGTCCCCCTACCTATTCATTATTGTATCACAAGTCTTGTCTGCTATGATCTCAGCTGCAGTTGAAAGAGGAATCTTCAGGGGACTGTCATTGGCAAGAGGAGCTCCTATTCTCACTCACCTTCTGTTTGCGGATGACTCAATCCTCTTCTGCAAAGCAGATGAGTACCAGGCTAGGGCCATTAAATCAATTCTTGACTGTTATCAAAAGTTTTCTGGCCAGAAGGTTAATACTTCAAAGTGTTCCATCTTTTTCAGCAAGAACTCCAACATACTAGTACAGAATCAAGTCTGCCAGGTCTTTCCAGGAATTCAAGTTAAAAAGTCCTCAAGATACTTGGGACTGCCCTTTGGGATTGGCCACTCTAAAAAGGAGGTCTTTGGTTTTGTAACAGAAGTAGTAAGGAACAGAGTGTTGAGCTGGAAAAACAAATATTTATCAACTGCTGGGAAAGAGGTGCTAGTCAAATCTATCCTAAATGCACTCCCTCTCTTTGTCATGTCCTGCTTCAGGCTGCCAGTAGCCATTTGCAAGGAGGTGACAAGTATTTTTGCCAGATTCTGGTGGAGTAGGAACCTTGAGCAGCAGAGTGGAATTCACTGGAAGAGATGGGACATCTTAACACTCACCAAGAAGCAGGAAGGACTTGAATTTAAAGACATATCCCTCTTCAATGATGCCATGCTGGTTAAGCAGCTCTGGAGAGTGATTACTCAACCTCACCTCCTGATGAGCAGGATACTCAAAAGCAGGTACTTCCCCAACTCATCTATATTTGAAGCAAAACAGACTCAGAATTCCTCCTGGCTATGGAGATCTTGGCTAAAAGTCAGGTGGTTATTAAAAGAAGGCCTATCAGTTGAAATAAAAAATGGTGAATCTGTGCAACTGCAAGACTTTTGTTGGGTCCCAGGAATCAGAGGCAGAACTCTAAAATTCAAAAATGAAGTCGGCTATAGAACTCTCTGGGTGAAGGACCTGTTTAATGCTGATAACACTTGGAATGAACAAAGAGTCAAAGAAATGTTTGAAGACCAAGACAGTGCTGAAATCCTCAAAATCAACTCACTTGACCCTCTTGCAAAGGACAAATGGAGATGGCATCTTGGTACACAAGGAAGGTTTTCAGTCTCATCCTCCGATGATTTTCTGTCACAGCAAAAATTGCACACTCTAGACATTCCAGAAGGAAGCAGCACAGCAAGAAGGAATCAAAGATAAGGCATAGAAGCTGGAACATCAAAATCAAAGGCAAGATAAAACACTTTCTATGGAAGTGTCATACCAATTCTCTGCCTGTGAACTTGAACCTGAAAAGAAGAGGAGTTGAAATTGATCCAACTTACCCATGCTGTGGAGAAGCTGTTGAATCAGTTGAGCATGCACTCCTTACATGTCCCAGAGCAAGGAAGGTTTGGAAAAGAGCACCTATTAACTGTGATGGTATCAATGGGGATACTTGGCCTTTCCAAAACTGGTGGGGGACAATCTGTTGTATGGATAAATCCACAGTTGCTGAAGACAGAATAGAGCTCACCACCTACATCTTGTGGTGGCTCTGGAAATCTCGAAACCTTTGGGTTTTTGAAAAGAACTGGAGACCAGAACACATCATCATCAAATGTGCTGTGAGAGAATGGCATGAAGCTAGGGCCAAGTTCCTCTGAAGTCCAACAAGCAATGTGCTCCTAACTAGGTCTACCTTGTAGTTCAGTGGTTTGGTGTTTCTTGTTTGTATCCCAGCTTCTAGTTTATGCTCTGTTTTTTCACTAAAGGATGCAGATTACATCTGCCTTTAGTGAGTGTTATGCTGTATTTTCTTAGCCTACTTGTGTATGTAGTGCTCCCTGGTTTTCCTTTACCTTCGGCTTCAGGACATGTACCTGCTTGTATTTGAACTATGTTTTATTTGCTATGAGATTACCTATCGATTTGAGAAAAAAATAATAAATAAGAGGGGTCTTTAAATAAGACACCCAAAACCATAAAAATTATTTTGTCCACCAAGCCTTTAAATAATAATAATAATAATAATAATGCTTAAGCTATGCGCATCATGCTTTCATTTTAAAATTTTCTTTAAAACTGAAATAATTTAATTTTATATAAAACATCACTTTGTGTTTTAATTAAATTGTCAAACTATATTTTTTTAATCATATAAGTTAAATACCGTTATGTAATTTTAGAATTTTGATTGTAAACTATATTTTTTGAACTTTATTTGTAATTTTAGAATTTTGATAATTAATTATTATTTTTGTTATATTGATAACATACCAATTAAATATTAAACAAATATCATTTTTAAAGAATAATGTACTATTTCATCTTTGAAATGAGTAAATATGAATATTGGAGAGAAGATTGAGAAATAACTTAATATGATTGATTTAATGAATGTATGTAATTGAAAAAAAATGAAATAAAAAGAAAATTATTATAGTAACTATGAAAGAAAAATATCGAATGAAATAATAATGATTGTTTCAATGAAAGAAATATTTAATATATTACGAAAATAACCATGTCTAGTTGGTATTTGACATGACACCTAAGTCTAATTATGTATCAATCCAAAACATAGAATTATGACAAATAGAATCCTGAAGCAGGTAAGAATCTGTCACTTAAACTGACATTCGAGAATTATATAGATGAGCATAAAAGAGAAAAAAATCTCTCCCATGTACTTTTTTTCTTTTCTTTTTTCTTTTCACAAAATAAAAGCAACGGAAAACAGTCATTTACTTTGTCCACAAAACCAGCTCACAAGGTCACGTGTCACTGTGAAATACGGGTGCCCTCTTGACCAGCTCCTTTGCCCAGCGGGATGATAAAATGGTAAATTAGGCCAAAGTACAACACACGAAGCACCCACATATCTTCTAGGGTTTTCTCAATAATCTCTATTTGTCTTTCATCTGCTCACACCGCAAATCACATCTCTTTCTCTGGTTCTCCGCTTTCCTTACACCTTCAACTGGTTTTCTGCCGCCGTTAGGTAAAAGTTATTTTCTTCTGTCTCCCGTGTATGTATTTTTTTATGTGTGTGTGTGTGTGTGTGCGCAATTGGTTTTGCTTAACTGTGAATTCTATTTGTCGGTTCGTTAATTAGATATCAGGCACCGTTAATTTCATTTATTAATATTTGGATTTGAGGGTTTTGAATTTTGAATCCTCTTACGGTCTCTCGTTTTTGGAGTTGATGTGTTCTTATTCTCGTGGTGGTGCTGATGTTTATTTTAAGCACATAAGAAACTAATTGGAGACTGTGAGCTGTGGTTTTACTCAACTAATGAATTAAAATTTGGTTTTACTGGCTGTCCGGAGCAACCTTGTTTTTCTATTGCTGTATCTCTTATATATTGGTGTATAGTCATTTTTCTGCTATTGAGATTGTTGGCTTGTAATTTGTATTGAATTTTTCAGCAGGGGTGGATCCTGAAAATTTTATCAGGGGATTATAATTATATATTTTTCTAATAACGGCATACATTTAGTGTAATAGAAAAAAAACTAAAAACCCAATTGTTCCAAATATGGGGAAGGAGGGTTAGGACATTTATCTTTTGTGGGTTAAACAAGTTGAAATTTTTTCATTTGTGCTGCTGCTTCTTTTACGCAGTCAATAGGTTGCATTTTCCTTCACAATTTTGCTTTATTTAATTTTATTTTTATTTGTTAACCGTATATTGTAATTAATTACAAACTCTGGTGTCAGGTTCTTTTGTTGAAAAATGAGTTAATTATAAACATTTACATGGTTGTAATTTAATACTACCGGTTTGTTTATAGAATTATTTCAGGCTTGCATCCCTGTTTTTATGCCCTTTAACCGTCTTGCAAACTGTTAACTGCAACTTAATAGTTGTGTTCCTAAATTGAATGCTCATGACTTTATGTATATATCTTGCAAAATCTTATACAAATTGTGTGATCGCCATTGCCCTTTTTATATCTTCTAACAATATGACTCTGAATTTTGTTTGAATGAGTTGATATTTGGGATGGAGCATTTCATAACAACTGTAATTGCACCTGCAGGGTTCTCCTAGTGATCAGCACAATTTATTCCATAGACCTGCATGTGTCCAATATATTTAATTCCTCATCCCTGTACCTGATCTCAGATGGAACATTATTCTCATCCTCTGGATTTGCCAGTATCAGAGATGCATATGAAATTGGTGGGTCAGGTCTCTAGCAATCCCGAAACTCATCATTTTTATGCGTCAATGCCTGTACCCAGTAATCCGGACATGTCAGGTACTTTAAATGTGAGCATGACAAATAACCTTGCTAATGAGAAGACACCACTGCCCGTCAAACGGAAGGCTGAAATGGGACCCCAGTTGAACAGCTCTATTTCTCAGCAGCCAGTGTTGCCTAACAAGAGGCCAGCACACATGGGGGCTAATAACTCTGCTGGGTTTTTGCAGACATCAGCACCTCAAAGGAAAACTGTGCAAATACCGGCTCAGAATTCGTCGAACAAGAAAATGGTTCGGAATGACTCCATGTCTGGTAAATCTGGCTTGCAGAGGGGCTCATCTGCAAAAAAACAATCTGCTCAAATCGAGCCAGGATCCAAGGCGCGCCCGGAGTCTTCAGAAGCTACGAGGTCCAAAATGAGAGAGTCTCTAGCTGCTGCACTGGCCTTGGCAGTCAAGAAACAAGATAGTGTATCAACGACTCAGAATGAAAAGAGTGAGGCCGCTATTACTCATCAGCCCACGAATGCTCAGGTTTCAGAGCTCGGTTTGGATATGGGAGGCCATATTAATATTCATGTTTCTGGTCCTGGGGTTTCAAAAGAACCAGGACAAAAGGAATCAGATGTGCTAAAGAACACCAATGAGAGTCAGGTTTTTCACTCTGAACTACCGACCAACGTAAGTAGTGTGAATAACGAACAGGGTTTCCAGGGGTTTCAGTATGCTTCCATTTTGCCTGATGAGGATATCACGTTCGGTGATAATTTCTTCGCTAAAGACGATCTCTTGCAAGGAAACGGGCTTTCTTGGGCATTTGATTTTGATGCACAGATTGGTGGGGAGGCAAAGGAAGCCCAGCCCGCCGAGAAGCCTGAGCCCATTAAAGTCGAAGCTCGGGGCCAAGAAGAGAAAAAAGCTATTCTGACACCAGACGCTGGAGTCTTCGAGACTTAGGATGAGTACGGTCTACAGGGGATTCCCTTTCGAGCAGTTGACACTGCGGGTCTCGCATTACTGTATGGATATATTGAATGATGAGCTTCAGAACATGCGAGACTTCGACAAAGATGTTTCGGAGCGCTGCGATTGTGCACTAAAATACACTCATGGACTTCCTTGTGCCTTCGTCTATGGCAAATTCCTCGTTGGCCTTTTGCTGTGAGCTAAGGGAGGCATACACTGTACGTAGAAATATTACAACCGACGACATCCACAGCTTCTGGAGCACACTAAAGGTGACGCAGCCATGTATAATTGCGAGATTAATAAATCTATAGAATATTATGCTCAACAATTTTTTTTCTCCTAAATTTTGTTTATTTATTTTTTTATTTTTTTTATTTTTTAACTCCACGTATTGTTTCATTTATAGAAATTTTGATAGAGCATATTGTATAATTCTTTAAATTTTCGGTACGGACAGGTCAGCAGAGTGCATCGGCGAGTGGATGGACTGATCATGATTATTTTCGGAGGCTTGCGGAGGAGGTTGAAGCGGCCAATCCTGCGACTGTACGGTACCTGAACCATCTCATCGACTCTCAACTTCACCCTGATCAACAGGGATACACAGAACCTGCAGTGAAGGAAAATCCGAGAGGTCGGCCCAAGAAGAATAATTCAACAAAACGCGATCTATCGAGATGGGAGTACAGTGAAAGAGGCCGTACGGCGGGGCATAAAAGCACTTCTTCGTGTGCTCCATCGCAATCGGGGTACACGGAAACAGGTCTTCGGCCGGGGCGTAAGAGCACTTCTTCGTGTGCTTTGTCGATGTGGGACTACAGGGAAAGAGGTCGTCCGGTGAGTCGTACAAGCACTTCTTCGTGTGCCCCGACAAGCTTATCATCTCAAGATCCGACAGGTAATTTAATTTAATTTTTTATTTGAACGATGACTAATTATGTTTGTAAATTCAATACCTAAATTGTGACTTGAAATTTTTCTGATATTACAGATACTTTCGAGACGGATTTTTTTTAGTACCGACATCGTGGTAGGATTCCCTACGTAGTTCACAGCTACGTACAGAGTTATCTGGATGTGACGCCGGACGGAAACTGCGGATTTCGGGTGGTTGCGAGTTACATTTATAGGGATCAGTAGAAGTGGGCTGTGGCAAGAAGAAATATTGCAAATGAAGTTGCAGCCAACATTCATTTGTACGCTCCATTTTATTGGGATGGGGTCGACGTCGCAATCGATCGTATAAGATGGGACGGGGGTCCTTGTGGCGAGGAGCATTGGATGAATGCTACGGGCGACCTCTTTGCTATTGCTACACTGTTTAATGCAGCTGTCGTGTTGTTAAGCTATGGTCCCAACGTTTACAATATGGGCATGGCCAGTATGACGGTATTCCCGCTCCGCGCACCATCTACGGCTACATGACCTGACTGTGAGATCGTCATAGGTCATCTTGGTTCCTACGCGCACTTCATTCGTGTCAATCTGTGTTCTGATTCTCCATTACCGCCTTTGTGTTATTTTTGGGAGAAATACCGAGATGTTTCGGTTGAAGATTGGTCGTATCAGTACCGGAGCAGGTTCCAATTGTGGCATGATATTCGTCCTGCAGCTGGAATTTGATATATTGTGATATTCGACTTATGTCTGCGGTTTTTTTTTTTTTTTTAAAAATTTTATTTTCATGCGTTACGAGTGATAGATTGTGATATCTCGCCGTGTCTACCGTTTCACGTGATATAATGGGAGAATTTTTTGTTTAGATGAAAAAAAAAACAATTCGGGTGGTTTATGACAACATCCAAAACAAAATATAAAAACGAAAAAAATAAGTATTTATTACATCACTACTGCGCTCTATCGAAATCCAACTTCAACTGAGCCAATTTTTCTGCATAAATTGCCGCATATCAGGAGCAACTGTCGCGAACTCCCGATGCATATCTGATGAAAGGGACATGGACCGTCCGACCCACTACACAAAGCACAAGGAAAATATATACACATAATTAAAATATAAAAAAAGAATTGTAATGAACGAATACTAACTAAAATTTAGTAAACGACTTACGTAATCGATGTTGGCGCGCGCAGGGACAGCCTCATTGTCCGCCTGACTGTCGGGCAAGATTCTAGGATGAGAATAACGCTCATACCATCGCTGGTAGTCCTCATGGGCCGCCCCTAGATCATCTGCGGTGGTGGGAGTAAAATCAGACAAGCGTACAGAATGCAGTAGCGGGAACTGATCCCAGTGATCTACTGCAGCGGCCGCTGCATGCTCAACCCTGTACATCCTAGCATTCCAACCATGAAATATAGTGATCGGACGATCCATGCGGGGAGGGATCGTCTGGACGTAGCGCGACTGACGCAAGAAACGCATAGGCATGTACGGCTCCACAATATCCCGGTACCTAAGGCATCCGGAATAAAGGGTCCTAGGCTCCAGCATATGTGGGTTGGAGCCGTATGGCAGCCAGTTTACCTGTTCACAATTGCATAAAACATTTATTCAAACAATTCGAGTATTCTAAATAACATTCAAGTAAATGTAATAAAATAACTTAACGTACCTCAGCGGCTGTGAGTCTGTCAAGCTGCCTATGGAAATGCTTGAGGCGCTTATCTGAGTTACCTGGGACGGGGGTCCTCCACAAGGCTGATCGGGTCAAGCTGTCAGAATCGGAGGCCATACGCGAACCGGCGGGTCGGAAGGTGGGGAAGTACTCGTATATCCAGGACTGCATGAGAGTCAAGCAGCCCGCCACTCCCCCCGACTCCCCCCTGCTGGCCATACCAAAATGCCTGAATAGGTATGCCAGTGCAGTCGAGCCCCACGAGTAAGTCCCAACACTCTGCAGGTCCTCCATCATCTCGTGCAGGATTTTGGGACTGACCCTGTTACCACTCTTGTCTGTAAACAAGGTGGTAGCGAGCAGCACCCACAACCAGCCAATCGCCACATGCTCAGCCGACCGACCTGCGCCATTCTTCTCCAACGCAGTAAAAACGGCTTCATTCGTCACCGAGCCGTGACCCCAAAACTTCGCTATCAGCGTTGCCTGGTCCACCCCAGGAGCTCCATGCAGTGCGCTTGTTGTATCAAGGTGTCGGGGTCCCCTATGACTACCGCACCGACGACAGGAACACCCAATATCGCCCTCACGTCGTGCAACATGATACTCATTTCACCAAAAGGCAGGTGAAACGAGTTGGTATCCGGCTGCCAGCGCTCCACAAATGCTGAAATAAGTGGAGTGTCAATGTGGTCATGCATGGTGGACGCCAAATGTGACAGCCAGGTCGGACGGATCAGATCTCGCGGAGCCTCAGCCATCTGTACGAGCCACTCCCTCAAAACACCATTCGCTGACATCCTGTTTTGGCACTTCAACGTGCCTCTATCATGTCCAGTCCAAATCTGGGAGGCTACGTGCCCTAGAAAACTAGGGATAACACTCCCGTCAAAGGGGACACCGGGTACTGGGACTTTAACACGCCAGTCGTCACACTTAGTGCGTTTGCTACTCGCCCCTGTATTATAATAGAACAATCAATGTATATACGGCATACTATGATTGATTGTATCAATGATGTGCTATTATTAAATAAAATAATATCTAATAGTAAACAACAATAAATACGTAAATCATTTACCTGAGGATGAGGCAGCGCTCGTATAACGGCCCCCAACTTGTCGTGGAGGATCAACTCGGCCGAGTCGTTTAGTTGGACGTGCTTATGGCTGGGTCTGTGGCTGCTCAACTGCATCAAAGTCATCATCATAAGCCTGCTCGTCATCATCATATGTCTTCTCGTCATCATCATAGGCCTGCTCGTCGTCGTCATCATCATCATCATCATCATCATCCCTCGGGCTCCTGACTGTCGACTCAATGGAGTCCCGCCGATGAACAATACGTATAGTCGGGAGACGTCCAGAACTGCTAGGCATCACTGACAAGGACTGCTGACCACTACAACTGTCAGGCATGAGTGGGCCAGACTGAGGCATGGGTGGGCCAGACTGAGGCATGAGTGGACCAAACTGAGGCATGACTGGGCCAGACTGCTGACCACTCTGTATCGGAGCAACATGATGTCTCGAACTACCAGCCTGAGCAGTCTGTACCCTGCGAGCATGAAGGCGCATCCGTTCCCTCTCCCGCCAAGCGGAAGCATTCACATTACGAGTGGGTGTGTGTCAGGGTCTAGAACCCTCGAACTCGGCAACATACTCATTAGCTTAAATAAAAAGTTTTAAACTAATAATTAGTATACATATTAATATATTTTAATATTAATATATTTGTTTCTTAATAATATATTATTAATATTTTTTCATTAATCATATATATAATAATATATATGAAATTAATTAATTTAAATTGATAATATTTATACATTTTTTAATTATATATTATTTAAGTAAACTAAAATAAACTATATATTAAATAAA